TTCTCCTTATTGTAATTTAGATTAGATTAAAATAAAATATTAGCTTGTATAAAAAAAAATACATATTCAAATAATAATTCACCTAATTAAGGGGCTGAGATTGACAGTAACGGTGAAATATTCAAAATACCACAAATAATAATATAGTAAATTAACAGATTTTCATATCAAACAGATTTAAAATTACAAAAAAGACAAAATGAGAACCTGGGTCCTATTATCATGGAAGACACCTAGACATATTTTCTCTTTCTTAATTATAAAATGAAAAAAAAAACTAAATTAAAAACAAAAACAACCAATTGGCACGCAGAGTCTGTAATCAAAATGAAATTGGGCCTATAATTAAAGAATTTATGTTGCTATTTGAGTCGTTGGGAGAGGCCCAAGTTGGAGTTACCTTTTCTCACAAGTCACAAGTAGGACGAGAGTCCCCTCGCTATCATGAACGACACGATAAGTCTGTTTTATCGTTTTGATAAATAAAAACTTATTCAATTGTTTCTTAAATAAACAGGTACAATACTCCACGCCATCGATCTCATCCATGGAATCATTTTGACTAAAATTCTTTGAACCAGTAACTTAATTATCCACCATTTTTATTTTTGGCAACATTACTAGGATTTATTGGTCAATGAGCAAAATCACCATTTTTCAGTACTAAGAATACTCAATATATTCTCCTCCTACTAAAAGCGGAAACAAAAAAGGATATACCTTTCCGTTTGAGATTTTGGGAAGAGTTGCAATACGATGAAAGTTGTAAGTTGTGTTTGCGGGCCGGGGAGGAAGATCCAAGCTGTTTCCCTCTCGACGATGAAGCTTATCCCCCCTCGTCTCACTGGCCGAAGTTGACCCATATTATTTTGAAACATTTAGCCCAAAAAAAACGTAAGGGAAAATTTGGTCTGAAAGAATTGACAAAAGAGTGGTACAATTCGGTAGGTTCTCCTGATCGTGCAAGCATTCGGAGTCAAACAAAAGGAAAAAACAGTCAGCAAAAACAACAACAAACCAACAAAAGGAAATATTTTTTTCTAATTAATTAATTACTTTGGGCAAGTCTGTTCGGAGATGTAACCAATCTTCAACTGATCAGATCAAGAAGGAAAATGCTAAGGAGACGAACTTGTGTACCAACTCTCTAATAGAGCGTGGGACCCATTGTATTGGTGGACTCCATCTCTATTAGAGAGTTGATATACAAGTTGGTATCCCAAGTTGGTCTCCCTAGCATGATAGTGAGAATGGAATAGTTGGGTATTAATCATTCTCAACATTTTATACACTTCAATTACTTGTTGTATGTAAATGGAATAGCCTCCTTTTTTATATCTGTGGTGTTGGAGATTGGAGAATCCGACACAAGACCTTAAGTGCATGAGTGAATGTTTTTATCCTTAATATTAGAGATCGAACCTCGTCTCTTTTGGCTTCTAATTGTGGTAGGAACCCAGTTATCTCAACATTAACTCAGAACATTCACAAAACAATTCACCCCAAAAATCATTACAAAACCAGCTTATAAACTGGGTTAGCAATTGTAACTAATATTCGTGCCGAAAGCAGCTGGCTTAACTACTAATCTAACAACCAAAACCTGATTGACAAACTAATCTCACACAACCGCACAACTGAATAACAGTTGAAAGGTGAGAAAGCTGCCACTTGGACCACTCTTCTCTTGCCAAATGGGCCAATGACATGAATACAACTAAACCAGCAACTATCAATCACCCGGCCCCAAAAACCAACCTTGTGCACGAGATTTGAAATCTGGAAATCGACTTTTGAGGCTGTGATAGTCTTCCCAGGTAGCATCTTCTTTGGGATGGTGTTGCCGACGAACTAACACTTGAGTAGCAGCTACATCAATCACTGATAGGAACCCAACTACCTCAATCTTGAGTCTTGACTCGTGTAACAACTATAAAATAATTCACCCCCAAAAGCATTACAAAACCAGCTTGTAAACTGGGTTCGCAGCCTAAAACAACTGGCTTAACTACTAATCTAACAACCCGAAACTGATAAACAAATAATCTAACAAGCCCCACAACTGATTAACAATTGAAAGGTAGAAGGCTGCCATGCGGACCACTCTTCTCTTGCCAAATGGATCAATGACATGAATACAACTAAATCAACAACACGGTGTACCCGAAACATACAAATTTTTTTACCAAATTAGGGCCTAATTTTGTCGTATGTCAAAATATAGTTGGTGCCGGTTATTTCGAGAATGCTACTATTTCCATCTTCTTCTTCTTGATACTTTGAGAATGTTTAGTAACCATGACTTGCATGGAAGTAGCATTTTGTGGTGTGATCCATGCAGCTCATTTGGTCAACTTTCAACAAATCATACGATCACTTTCACGGGTTTGCTGCATGATTGCATATGCAAACAAAAATAGGGATTTATGTATTTCAAAAAGCCACCCTTTGTAAATTATTGTATTTGTAACACAACTTATTCTTAGTTATGACTTTCTTGCAACATTAGTTTATATATTTTACAGTTTAGCATATGCCAATTCCCTTTTTATTGGAACCCTACGTTAGCATTTATATATATATATATATATATATATATATGTTACTCATCTATCGTAAGCATCTTATCTAATAAGAGATTATTTTCCTACACACATATTATATATATATTACTATACTTACGTTGTCCTATTCAGAATTCACCACACAATCGATTTAAGTGAAAAAATAAACTTGATTACTACGTTTATCTTCGCAGTTCAAATCACACTTTCAAACAAGAATCAACTTTATTAGTCACTGATTCAAATTCGCAAGGGAGTATAT